GGTCCCACACCTGTGTGTGACCATTAAAAATTGGGAGGGGGCCAGCTGAGTGGCTCAGTTGGTTAAGAGCGCCAGCTCTGAGCAACAGGGTTGCCGGTTCGATTCCCACACGGGCCAGGGAGCTGTGCCCAAGCTGAGCTGCCGCTGAGCTGCCAACAGGTGGCAGGATGGCTCAGCTGGTGAGAGCATGTGCTCCTAACAACAAAGTTGCCTGTTCGACTCCCGTGTGGGATGGTGGGCTATGCTCACCCACAACTAACATTGAACACAGCACCTTGAGCTGAGCTGCCCTGAGTTACCGTTGGCTGGCCGGATGGCAACTGGACTTGGAGCTGAGCTAGCTGCACCCTCCACAACTAAGACTGAAGGACAACTTGGTTGTTTTCCTTCCCCAATTCCCTAATAAATTAATAAAAATTGAGAGGGATATCTTAGCTGCAGAGGTCTCCCCTGGAGAAGCAAGAGGTCCCAGCCCCACACCAGGCTCCCCAGCTCAGCAATACTAGGGAGAGAAGTCCTCATAACTTCTGGCTGTGAAAACCAGAAGATTGTGGCTGAATGAGATGGAGGATGGGTGCAGTCCCAGGTGATCCTCTTAAAGGGCCCACACATGGACTTACTTGCTGGTGGACTTACTTGCTCTGAGCTCCAGTGCTGGGGCAGCTGCTTGAAAGGCATTAGGGACATATGGGGAGGAACTGAGTTGTCTGGCTGCAGGATGAGGGCAAGAGGGGCAGCTTTCTCCCAATTTCTTTATTGAGTCTTCCCCCATCCTGGCTTGCTGACACAGGCAGCCACCATATCTGAGTCTCCATCAACCTGGGTAACACCATTTATTCACCCTGCCCTGGTGATTCTGATACCCCCACCCCACCCAACTTTTGGGCACAACCAGACTGCTTCCAGTGGCTTCTTTGTACAAACTGCCTGCCTTGGCTCATGCTGCAGACTTTCCTAAAGTCTCTCAAAGAGTAACAAAACCCAAACAAGCAGCATGTGGCTTCGACGTGTCCCGTACCTCTGGTTGAGCAACCCTAGCCTGGCACTAGCGGCAGCTGGTCTTGGTTCATAACTTGGCCTCTTAAGTCATCTCCAAGCACAGCATGGGTGACGGCCATCTGTGGATTGCTTTGTGACTCATGCCAGGTGGCCCCGGGCAGGGCACAGGCTGTGGCTGAACTTGGCCTGCAGTGGGTCTCCTCCCAGGTTGCCCTGGAGCTGGCACACCCTTTGGCCAGCTTCAGACTGAGCCAGAGCATAACCTGACTGCCTCTAAGGAGGACACACCCAATGGGCAGACGGGGCAGGCACCAGAGCCCCGCTAAAGCAAACCCTGCGCTGTAGGGTCATCCACTGTAGTCACAGCCAGTCCTCACAACCAATCAGCCCAAGGGTCAATCCTTCCCATGTATGTGCAGATAGCCACCAAGGCTCAACTACAACAGGAGGGCACACACAACCCACACAAGGGACACACCTGGAGCACCAAAGCTCAGGTCACCAGAAAGAGTGTGCCACTGGGTCCCACAGGACACCTGCTACGTAAGACAACTCTACTAAGACTGGAAGACATAGCAGCTCTACCTAATACATAGAAACAAACAGGGAGGCAGCCAAATGGGGAGACAAAGAAACTTCTACAAAATAAAAGAACAAAGGTCCAGAAAAGGAACTAAACAAAATGGAGACAAGCAATCTACCAGACACAGAATTCAAAACACTGGTTATAAGGATGCTTAGTGATCTCAGGGAGAACGTCAACAAAGAGATAGGAAACATAAAAATGGAGATAGAAAACAAAGAGGAGCCAGTCAGAAATAAAGAATACAATAACTGAAATGAAGACCACACTAGAGGGAATTAACGGATTAGATAAAGCAGAGGAACAAATTGGCAATTTAGAAGATAAGGTTACATAAAACACCCAATCACAACAGCAAAAAGCATCCAAAAATATGGAGAGTTTAAGGGGCCTCTGGGACAACATAAAATGTACCAACATTCACATCACTGGGGTACCAGAAGGAGAAGAGAGCACAGAATTGAAAACCTAGTTGAAGAAATAATGACGGAAAATTTTGTAATCTGATGAAGGGAATAGATATACAAGCCCAGGAAGTGCAGAGTCCCAAACAGGATGAACCCAAAGAGGCCCATACCAAGACACATCATAATTAAAGTACCAAAAGTTAAAAAAAGAATCTTAAAAGTAGCAAGAGAAAAGCAATTAGTTACTTACAAGGGAGCTCTAATAAGACTGTCAGCTGATTTCTCAACTGAAACTTTGTAGGCCAGAAGGCATTGGCACAAAATATTCAAAGTGACGAAAGGAAGCAAGAATCTACATCCAAGATTACCCATCAAAGCTATCATTTAAAATCGAAGGACAGGTAATGATTTCCCAGACAGGAGTTCATCATCACCAAACCAGTTTTACAAGGAATGTTAGAGGGACTTATTTAATATGGAAAAAAAAGATGAAAAATATGAATAATGGCAATAACTACATATATATCAACAATTACTTTAAATGTAAATAGATTAAATGCTCCAAGCAAAAGACATAGGGTGGCTAAATGGATAAGAAAACAAAACCCTTACATATGCTGCCTACAAGAGACTCACTTCAGATTGAAAGACACACACAGACTGAAAGTAAAGGGATGGAAAAATATTTCACGAAAATGGAAATGACAAGAAAAAAGCTGGGGTAGCAATACTTATACCAGACAAAACAGACTTTAAAAGGCTATAATCTGGGTGTTTGTCCAAAGAAACTCAAAACGCTACATTGAGGGGACATGTGCATCCATATGTTCACTGCAGCATTATTTACAATGGCCAAGATGTGGAGGCAACCTCCGTGTCCCTGAATGGGTGACTGGATAAAGAAGAGGTGGAAAGGCCGGTTGAGTGGCTCAGTTGGTTAAGAGCTCGCTCAAGAGTTTGAGCTCTGAGCAACAGTGATTTGACTTCTGGCCTGAGCTGAGCAGCCGCTGAGCTGCCAACAGGTAGCAGGATGGCTCAGCTAAAAAAAAAAAAAAAAGAAGAGGTGGTACATATACACAATGGAATATTACTCAGCCACGAGAAAGAATGAAATCTTGCCATCTACAACAACATGGATGGACCTAGAGGGTATTGTGCTGAATGTAGTAAGTCAGAGAAAGACAAATGTCATATGATTTCACTTATAAGTAGATTCTAAAGAAAATTAAAAAATGATACAAACTGATAGATACAGCAAACACTTTGATGGTTACCAGATAAAAGGGGGAGTTGGTGGTGGGTTGAAAAGGGTAGGGATTAAGAATTACAAATTGGATGTTCCACAGTAGTCATAGGGATGTAGGGTATAGCATAGGGAATATAGTCAATAATATTATAATAACTGCATGGTGTCAGATGGGTACTAGATTTATTGGGGCAATAGATGGGATGAAGGGTTAAGGGCAGGGTGAAAAGGTGAAGGGATTTAGAAATACAAAATGGTAGTTACAAAATAGTCATGGGGATGTAAAGTAAAGCATAGGGAATATAGTTAATAAAATGGTACTAACTTTAGTGTCAGGTGGGTACTAGACTAATCAGGATAATCACTTCTTAAATTATATAAATGTCTAACCACTATGCTGTCACCTGAAATTAATATAAAATAATATTAAATGTCAACTATAATTGAGATATTAAAAAAGGGGAAAATGGTGAAGGGGAATAAGTTCAAATTTTCAGGTATAAAATTATGGGGATGTAATGTACAGCATAGGAAATGTAGTCAATAATATTGTGATAGTGTCGTATGGTGTCACATAGTTGCTGGACTTATCATCGTGATCACTTTTTCAGGTATATAAATGTTGAATAACTATTGTGTACACCTGAAACTAATACAAGGTTGGACAATTAAGTTTGTGAACTCATCCTAGCAAAACTGCTACATACCTCATTGTCAAATATCACTATGGTCACCTTCGAAATACTCCCCTTGGGAAGCTATGCACCAATGCCAGCGCCTAGCTCAATTCACCCTTCAAGGAAATTTTGGAACTCTTTTTCTGAAATGGCTATCAGAGCTGTCATCGCATTACCCTTGATGTCCTGAATGTCATCAAAATGTCTTCCTTTCAATATTCTCTTTATCTTCGGGTAAAGAAAGAAGTCATTGGGGGCCAGATCAAGTGAGTAGGGAGGGTGTTCCAATACAGTTATTTGTTTTACTGGCTAAAAACTCCCCACAGACAGTGCTGTGTGATCTGGTGCGTTGTCATAATGCAAGAGCCATGAATTATTGGCGAAAAGTTCAGGTCGTCTAACTTTTTCATGCAGCCTTTTCAGCACTTCCAAATAGTAAACTTGGTTAAGTGTTTTCCCAGTTGGTACAAATTCATAATGAATAATCCCTCTGATATAAAAAAAGGTTAGCAACATCATTGCAACAAAGTTCGCGAACTTAATTGTCAGACCTTGTATAATATTGTATGTTAGCTATATTTTAATTGTTTGAAAGAAATTCAACATCCATTCATGATAAACACTTAGCAAACTAGGAATAGAAGGAAACTTCCTTAATTTGATAAAATCTATCTACAAAAAACCTAGAGCAAACCACTTTTCTTTAGCGAACTGTCAGAAGATTTCCCTCTGAGATCAGGATGCTTGTTATCACCACCAACATTGTACAAATAAAGGTATAAAAATTAGGAAGAACAAAACTCATTATTCATAGGTGACATGATTATGTAGAATTTCCAAAGTAACCTACAGATAAAGTATTAGAATTAATACATTGGCATGAATGCTGGATATAAGATTCATATACAAAAATCAGTTGCTTTCTGTATGAGTAAATAGAATATGTATTCTGTATAAAAAGTAAATAGAAAATGGTATTTTAAAAGTAAATTCTTTATAATATCAAAATATAACTTGTTCTGCAAGATATCAAGCCTAATTATAAACCACAATAACTAAGAGTGTAGTTTTGGCACAAGAATAGATAAACTGATTCATCGAGAGGCCCAGACCTAAGCCTGTGTAGAGAGTTGACTCATGACATGAAAGGGACACTGCCAAGCAGCAGAGAAAAGGGTCTTTTTGATAAATGGTGCTGGGACAATCAGATATGCACAGGGGGGCAAAAAACAAACTGTTATCATGTCACCCACACACAAGTCAATTCCAGATGGGTATATAAAAGCAAAATAATAAAGCTTCAGGAAGATAGCATGGGAGACCAGAGCCATATCAGAGTAAGGGAAGACTTCTTAAAGGAGAAGATTCATAAATTTGACTATGTTAAAATTAAGGGGAATTCATCAGAAGACATTAAGAGTGAAAAGACGAGCCACAGAATTCACACACTGCAAATCCATGAGAAACAGGCCATCCTATAGAAAAAGGGGCAAGAGACCTGAGTAGGCACTTCAGAAGAGGACCCTTAAGTGACCAAGAAACAGGACAAGTTCTCTATTTTAGTAAGGACAATTATAACCAAGGAAAATGCAAATGAAACCTAAGGTGGGCTGCCCTGTGCAGTCCCCGGGATAACTGAGGTTAGATTGAGACACCGAGCTTTGGAGAGGACTTGGGTAACACTGGGGGAGCGTGAGGGGTGCCACCCCTTTGGAACACAGCTTGGCGTTACCTTTGAAGACTGAACATACATGTACTCTGGGCAGTTCCCTCCTGGGACGTGTGCCCAACAGAAATATACACGTGCGTGGCAAGAGCTTGTACAAGAGCAGCAGTGTGCTCCCGGCCTCCCCACCTATGAAAGCCCCAAAGGAGAAACAGCATATGTGCCCGTCAACCATGTCCTTGTAGCCTAGCCCCAGATCTGATGTCCAGCACTGAAACAGGCGAACCCCCATCTGTAAAACAATTTGAATGAACCTCACAAACAAATTGAGGTAGCTGGATACAAAAATACATGTACTGTATGATTCCATTTATATAAAGTTAAAAAAGTGGGTAGAACCAAAGTACCCATTTGTTTGGGAAGCATTGTATGGTGGTAAAACCTGAAAACAAGTGGTTTCATAAAATTCAGACTAGTGGTTTACCTTTGGGGGGACAGTAACAGGGGGACATGCTTCTCTAACACTGAGCGCTTATTCTGCATCAGACCCTATTCAGATGTCTTAGAGATGAAGAGACTGGGGAGCAGAGAGGTGAGGCCAGTGCCACTGCTTCACCCATCACCTGGGCCAGTGATCTTTCCCCCACATCCAGGTGACAAGTGTACTGATGGAGGTGAAAGGACCTGAGATGCCTTGATGTGAACAGGGAACAGCTGTAATTGTTAATAGTTTAAATTATTAATAGTTAGAAGGCCTTTCGTTTCTCCCACAGACACCCTAAAACCAGCCCCTCTGGCCATGTGTTTTGCACTTGAGTCTGACTGCTTCCACCAGAAAGGAAGCTCCAAGAGCAGACCCTTGGCACAGTTCACAGGATCCTATATTAGAGCCTCTGGAGGCACTTCCTGTGTTTGTTCAATGACAGAATCGGGGCAGCATCCAAGCCAAGCACGGGGTCTGGTCAGCAGGTCCTGGTTCTCTCCCCTGCTTCCCCCCACCCCCAGCTCCCTGGATTCTGGGAAGCCCTTGATACAGAGGGGATCCGATGTCCCCACCTGCCCTCTGTCAAGCCCCTGCCCCTAGGGCTTTGAGCCCCCTCCTCCCTTCTCTGCCCTGCACCTTCCCTGAGTTCCCCACATGCTGACCCCTGCCTTGTCCTTCCCCAGGGCCACAGATTGTGCTAAGCGTGTACGGACCAGACGTGTTTGGGAATGACGTGGTCCGAGGCTATGGGGCGATGCATGTGCCTTTCTCACCTGGCAGGTAGGTCCTCACTCCAACCTGCTCCCTGGCCCACAGCCCGTCCCTCCCTGGGCCATGCTGGCTTCCGGATTGGGCATCCTCAGCACGGCTTTTCCTGAAGAGACTTCACCTCTAGGCCAGGAATATGCTGGGATCCCCAGGGACCTGGGAAGCTTGGCCTTGTGGTGGGGGCACAGCCCATATCTGGGAGGAGACCAAGTGGATGAGGTTCATGCTGCTGCCCAAACACCAGGTGGGGTGGGAAAGAGTGCAGTGCCAGAGGACCCAACAGGGACCTTGGGGGCATCCTGAGAGGGGCTGGGTCTGCTGCAGAGAGTCCCGGGCAATTAGGGCCTGAGCTTACACACTCAATCCTTCATCTCTTCCCTCCCTCAGTGTCCTGCACGTCCTCACCAATGCCCCTTCTGTGCCCTACCCTGCTGGCATCAGAGGACACACGTGTCAGACACATTTTTGACTCTGTGGGCCCTGCCCTCAGAAGCCCCTAGAGAAGTAGACACAGATGGAGAGACACAACTCTTTTGCTAAGCATGGTTGACAGGGTATAGATGTGGTATTCTGGGGCACAGAGGAGGGCCTGGGTCAGCCGGCCTTAAAGGATGGGAACCCATCTAGAGAAGGCAGAGGGAGAAGCAGGAGCCGCAGTGTACTGAAGGCTCCAAGTGTCACTGAAACAGAAAGTGCAAGATGCCAGGGGAAGGAGTGCGGAGGGGAGGAAGGGATGGGGGGGGGCGGACCCCAGGCTCTGAGGATAAGACTGGACTGGAGTAGGTGACCACAGCAGGGGTCAGGGCAAGGGACTTGTCATGAGCTTCCTGGAGGAAGGGCATCCAAGCTGGGCCTTGAAGATGGCAGAGCATTTGTACATTTGGAGAAGGACATGGGCTCTCTGAGGAGCATAGTGGGAGCCGGGACCTCAGGTTTGAGGTTTGTAACCCTCAGCATCCTCCTGACCCCGCAAAAGAAATAAAAGTCTCACCAGACTCTGAGCTCTGGATGCTGGGCCCGGTCTACTGCATCCACCATGCTCCCCCAGCACATAGCCCCAGCCCAGGCCCAGCAGCTCAGTCAGCTTGGCCTTGACTCTGACTGGGCACCACCTGGTCTGTGAGTTCTCCTGCTACTGCTTGCTGGAGATGCGGAGCATTCCCTCACATCTGTTAGCACATCTGTCTATGAAATATTTGTTTCAGGCACAAAAGGACCATTCCCATGTTTGTCCCAGAGTCTGCGTCTATGCTGCAGAAGTTTACAAGGTGAGTTTTCTACACGTCACCCCAACCCTTCCTTCTGACCTAGGTAGTTGGAGAAGAGGGTGAGATGTCACATTCACTCCTCCTGGTGCTAGGTAACCTCGCCAGACCTTCCAGCTGCTCCATCTTTTGGAGACAAATGGAAACAAATGGGTTGCTGAGGGGTCACTGGGTTCCCTTTACCCACAGTTTCCTTTACTCTGTGCCCTACAAGTCTTTGTGTCAGACAGAACAGAGGAAACACTCGTCAGATAGGAAAGTGCTCATGACATAGTGTGACATTAAAATGTAGGCTATAAGAGGATACAGCAATAACAAACAACTTAAAACAGTAATAATAATCATAATATGTAACTTCTATCAGTTGCTGAATGCCTTCACACTTGGGAGCCTCTGTGAGGAGGTGACATCTGTAGAGCCGAGGTAAGGGACCAGCATGGACCATCTGGGGAAGAGCATTCCAGGCACAGGGCACAGCATATGCAAAGCCAGAAGAGCATGAACTTAGCCTGTTAGGAGCAGCCAGGAGGTGGGTGATAAAGGGGAATGTGGGGGGTGGTGGGAGCTAGCAGGGAGGCACAGGGACCAGGACACCGGCCTCCAGGGGGTGTCTGGCCAGATGACAGGGGAGACTGGGCCAGCAGTAGTACAACTGGGCCCTAGCTGACCGACTGGGGTTTGGGGACAGAGGCCTCCATCAGCTCAGCTCAGCCACAAACCACCACTTCTCCCCAGCAGGTCAGCCAGGAGTGGGCCCTGGACTCTGTTCACAGCCAGGACAAGGGGAAAACGAAGATTCCAGGGCGAGCTGGCAATCAGCCCCCTGCAGGCCTGGCCAATGTCAGGATGAGACCTGGGCAGAGGGACAGTGTTGGGGCTGAACCAAGGAAGCCTCACTGAGGCCTGGAGAGGGGAGAATTTGGGTGCCCACTGCCCCAAGAAGCCCCTCTGGGAGGCCACCACAATGGGAAGGGGTTTATTAGCCCTGGGCCAGTGTAAGTTCGAGGTGGGGCTGTTGGGGAGGCAGTGCCCGTCAGTGGGCGCAGGGAAGGTCAAGGGCTGTAAGTCCACATGCCACCTTGACTGGGATGTTGGTGCTGCTGCACACCCTACAGCGCTGAGGGAAGAGCTTAGGCCCCACGTGGGGTCTCCCCGAAGAGAGGGTTCTGTTGCTGAACAAATTAGACCTTACAGCTTGCAAAGCAGTCGAGGTCCTTGCCAGTGCCTCAGTGCAGGGGTCGGGCTCCCACCTTTTGCAGGGGCTCCCAACTGGGCACTGCCATATGTGCTTGGATTACAGAGACTGGGGAAAGATCTGTTAGTGAAGGCAGTTTGAATGACAAAATCTTCCCAGACTAGGGGTCCGTGGAGGCCACTGAATAACTGGCTCCAGGGGCCCCCTTTGCTCAGGCCAGAAACCTGGGGTCTCTGTCACCCCAGTCACTCTCTCCCTCTGTCCCAGACATCCTCCAGTGCTCCCTTCTTTTTTTTTTTTTTTTTTTTTTTTTTTTAGCTGAGCCATCCTGCTACCTATTGGCAGCTTAGCGGCTGCTCAGCTCGGGCTGGCCTCGAACCGCTGTTGCTCAGAGCTCAAACTCTTGAGCGAGCTCTTAACCAACTGAGCCATTCGGCCGGCCCCCAGTGCTCCCTTCTCTGCTCTCCCACTGCCTCCCCAGTTCCTCCCTCAGCCTAATTGGCCTGCCCATTTCCACTCTCTCCTGTGTTAGTTTCCTGTGGCTGCTGTAACAAATTACTACAAACCCGATGGCTGAAAACAATAGAAATTTATTTTTGCACAGTTCTAAAGGCCAAAGCCCGAAGTCAGCATAGCTGGGCAGTAACTAGGGTGTCACAGGGCTGCACGCCCCCCTTCCCCATGCTTTGCGGGAGAATCTGTCCCCACCTGGTCCACCTGCTGATATCCACGGCCTTCCTTGGCTCAGAGCTGCGTCACTCCATCTCTGCCTCTGTGGTCACGGGGCCGCTCCTGTGTGTGTCAAATCACACTTGTGATGGCATGTAGGGCCCACCTGGATAATTCAGGATCATCTTCCCATGTTAAGATCTTCACCTTAATCACAGTTTCCAAATAAGGTCACATTTGCAGGTCCCAGGGCCTAGGACCTGATATCTTTGGGGACATTATTCAGCCTGTGACAGTACTTCTGATCTAGTCTTCACTTAACAAAAAGGGTTTTCCTAAAACAACTATAGGAATTCCTCAGGCCCGTCTCTACATTTAGTATTAACTTTAACTATTATAGCAGGCTTCTAGGCCCGTGTTCTCTGGCCCCGCTGACCTTAGGCCTTCTCCCCTTCTCACCTCTCCCTACCTTCTGGGTCCTTCCCTGCCTTGGGCCCTGACCTGGAGCACTGTCCCCTGAATAGTCTGCCTCTTCCACCTGGTCCACAAGCAAGCAGCCCTCACCGACCTCAGGAGAGAGAATTGCAGTGTCTGTGTCGTTCTGTAGATTCACGCTTCAGGTGTGCAGGCTTGTGGGGGCTGCTGCTCTGCCTCGGTCCTCACAGCAACCTGTGAGGTGGGTGCTGTTAAAGCCCCCACTCCTCGGGATGGCTGAGTAGCTCAGTTGGTTAAGAGCATGAGCTCTGAGCAACAGGGTTGCCTGTTCGATTCCCACATGGTCCAGTGAGCTATGCCTGAGCTGAGCTACCGCTGAGCTGCCAACAGGTGGCAGGATGGCTCAGTTGGTGAGAGCATGTGCTCCTAACAACAAGGTTGCCGATTTGACTCCCACATGGGATGGTGGCTACGCCCGCCTGCAACTAAGACTGAACACAGCACCTTGAGCTGAGTGGCTGCGAGCTGCCTATGGGCAGCCAGATGGCAACTAGACTTGGAGCTGAGTTAGCTGCGCCCCCCACAACTAAGACTGAAAGACAACAACTTGGCTGCTCCCCTTCCCCAATTCCCCAACACTGTTCCCCTTCTCCAATTCCCCAATAAAAAAATCTTAAAAAAAAAAAAAGCCCCACTCCTTGGATGAGGTAGAGCAGAGAGGTGGTGACTCCCCATCCAGCCCCAGCTGGAACCTGGGTTCCCCACGTCCTTGCTGTCCCGTTTCTCAGGGTTGGGGGTTCGGTAGCCTCTCACTGCGTCTCCATGCAGCCTGTAGATGGACTGGGCGTTTTGGCCTGCAGTGGGGGCCGGCAGATGGGTGGGCACTAGTGCCCTTCTCGAAGGGGGCCTGGTGTGTCACGGTGGACTGGGCCAGGAGGAGACCCACCCAACCTCCTGCAGGTCAGCTGCTCTCCCAGGAGAGTGCTAATGGCACTCCCAGCTGCAGAAGCCTGGCCTCTCTAGGACGCAAAAATCTCTGAGGCTCATGCACCTTTCTTCCTACACCTGGGAGGTCCCGAGACCACCCAGACCCCTGCACTGCCCGGGTAATCCCTGAAGCAGCCTGAGAGGTGACTCTGGGACTAAGCCCAAGTGTGCCTGACCCACCCAGCTGGGACTAGTGTACCGTGTTTGTTTCTGGCTCAGTGGGTGTATAGGAGGTGAGGCTGCTGCTCGAAGGAGCTGCCTGCCTCAAGGGTAGGGTCTGGAGCCAGGAGGGCGGGGACAGTGTGGAGGTTGGGTCCTGCCCAGCTCTGCTGCCCACTGCTGTGGCCTTGAGCAAGTCTCTGGACTTCTCAGCCTCTATGGGCTCCTGGAGGGGCAGGCAAACAGTGGGATATCAGGGCACCTTTCCAAGTGCTGCACCCCTCACCAAGGGGACGAGTTAGAGGATGGTGTTTGTCAGGGCAGAGCAAGCACATCCTTGTTGTATTCCAGAGCAAGAATCCTAGATAGTAAGGTTTGTGTTCTCTATGGCTATTGACAGAGTGCCTTCACCTCAGAGCCCCATGAGGTAGGTGCCATTATCATCCCCATTATAGTTGAGAACACTGGGGTTCAGAGATGGGAAGTGACTTACCCTAGGTCCCACACTATTATGAGGACAGTGGATAGCCCAGATCTGGCCCGTCTTTTGCTGGACTCTGGGATGGGGCCCTTTTTCCTGGGTCACACTGGCCCCAGGTCCCCCACCCCTCTTCCACCTCAACTTTCTGCGATTTCCCCTGGGTTCAGGACATGGCCCACCCTGACTCCAGCCCCAAACCCCTCTCAGCTTTCATCCCCAGTGAATCAAGCCCATGGATAACTGATGGGAAGGCTGGCATCTGGCTGGGGAAGGGAGCTGCAGAGTCCTGCAGGTCTGGTGGGTGCCCCGCCAGGCTTCATGGGCACCGCCTGGCCTTGCCTTCCAGACTAGCCGGGGGGAGGGTGGTGTGGGGAGCCTCTGCCCAGGGCCTGGCCCTGGGGGAAGACTGCTGGTTTCTGAAGCCTGGAGAGAGCCCACGGCTGGTGTTTGTCTGTCGGGTACTTAGGCCAAGGCCTCGCTCACCGGCTCTTCTCCTGTCTTCCCAGCTGGTTCATGGGACGGCGGCCCGAGTACACAGACCCCAAGGCCGTAGCTCAGGGTGAAGGCCGAGAAGGTAAAGCTGCATTCCCCAACCCCACCTCCCATCCCACAAGCAGGCTGCAGCCTGGGAGGGACTAGGTAGGCCCCTGGAAACAGATGGGGCGGGTGCCAGGGCCTGCTGGGCATGCAGTCACCCATGCTGTGGGAGCACCGAGGGTTTGCCATGTCTGTCTGTCCCTGCTGCAGTGAGGGGTAGGGGCCAGGCACTGTCATCCCCGTTTTACAGGAGAGAACACTTGAGACAGATTCCCAAAGTAGCCTGGCTCTGTCTCTGCCCAAGCCCAGCTGACACCCCCTTCTGTCCCCAGTGACCCGTGTCTGCTCCCAGGGCTTTGTCACTCTCCTCTTCAATGTGGTGACCAAGGACATGAGGAAGCTGGGCTACAACACTGGGCCCCTGGATACACAGGGTGTCTTGGGGTCCAGCCCACCCCAGGGCCTCCCCTGGTGAAGGCATCAGCCCCTCTGCCACCCAGCAAGACTGGCTGAACAGCCGTGCAGGCCACGCCGCTGCCCACCGTGCCAGGAGTTGGCCACCGATACATCTGCCTGACTGAAGTGCGCTTGGGGGTGGGGAGAGTATTTTCATAAAATAAAAAGATCGCCTTTTCACAGAGCCCAGGCCTGGGGCTGCCTCCTTTCCTTTCAGCACCTCCCCCATTGGAGCAGGCCACCACTTGGCCCGTAGCCTTTCCTGAGCTGGGCCAGGTCCTGCCCTTGTCCCACACTGCCTCTCCCAGCACTGCCTGCGGGATGTGAGCACTTGTCATGCCAGCCATGCTCCGTGACCACCAGGTCCTTTGGCGCAGAGAATACCGTTAGCAGGAGCTGGATGGAGAGGCCTCTGGCCGGCCCCCTGCCTGCCCCTGACCTCCACAGCCCAGAGGACAGGGCTGACATCTCCGAGCCCAGGGAAGCCACTGGAACTCCAGTTTTCTGGCAAGCCTCACAGCATGAGAGGAAGCTGAGCCTTACGGCCCTGCACTCTGAAAGCAGAGCCCTCTCAGCACTCAGGTCCTTCCTGTGACACTGCTTGGAGGGGTCACTGCTTCAGCCCTCAGCCCAAAGCTGGACCTTCTTACCTTCTCCCCACACACACCCTGGGCTGGGCAGAGGCAGGGTCCCACCACCACCTGTAGCTTCAGATGAACCCTCTGGGGATGGGACACAGAGCTTGCCCATTGTCCTCTTCAACCTGCACACCACCCTCAGCAGGATTTAAGAGAGGCCACAAAGTGCCTGCCCTGGTCCCCTGGCCAACCAGCCATGACACTGCCCCAGCTGTAATCGGAAGTTGCTCTAAGAGACCACAGGAGCTAACCCTGTTCTGCCCTTTATCTCAGTTCTCTCAACACCAGAAGTTTAGCTGCTCAGGGCACCCCCCCCCCCTGAAACCCCTGCGCCCAACTCACTGTGCGCTCTGGAACTCATGGTCTGTCATCAGCAAAATCCCTATAATTCCAACCCTCTCTGACTGGAAAGTTCCCTCCACCTCTGGCCCTTACTAAAACTGTCCCCTGTAGCCCTGGCTCCCAAATGCCATCACCATGGGCCTAGAGATGGGGTCTGTGTCCTTAGCCCCCCACGAGCATTCCCTCCTTCCCCATCCCAGCTCCCTGACATCCGGGCCATCAGACCACACTTCATAAGTCCACCCAAGACTTGACTACCTTGTCTTTTCCTCTAGCTATTCATGGCAACATCACTGTACACATGGATGATCCTTCCCACAACTTGGCTTCTTCCTCAGCCTTCTCCCTTGCAATGACCTTGACCTGTGCCCCTCAACAGCTGCCCACTCGCATGGTCAGAGCCTGTTTCTTGTGACTAATGACTGCATCATCTCCAACATGTGCATCCAAGCGGCCCTCCCCTAACCACGCCCTCCCTGCGTGCAGTTCCTTTGCTGTGGTTCCCACTCCAGCAGTCCTTCATTCCATCCAGGTCCTCCCAGCCACTGACCAACCCTTTCTGTGCTAACCATCAGCCCTTATCTTTTCTTTCCTGCCCAGTTTTGAACTTAGCAGTCATTTATGCACCTTCTCTGCATTCACCCTCAGCTCTTGTGCCTTGTCCCTTGCTTTATCCTTGGCTGGCCAACTTCAGCTCTAGGGAAACCTAGCCATCTGCTAAGGGCCAGGGCCCGGTCAGTGTGTCCAGCCCATGGCCAGGTCTCCCCCAATGCTGCCAAGCAGTCCCCCTTATTTCCTTATTGAACCCCCTCATACATCCTCAGAAAACTCATTCAGACCTTTCCGTCCCTCAAACCTCCAGTCCCCTTTGCCCCTCACCTGAAGTGCTCATGAGGAAATGGAAATGATGAGAAGTCCGACGTTCCCACCAACCGTCGCTCCAGACACCCGGGGTCCTACCTGAGGCCACCTCACGTGTGTACGTGATCCCATGGCCTCTGCCTTCTCCTGGGTGTCACTCCCACAACCCCTCCTCTGCAGAGCACTCTCAACAGCCCCCATTGTGCTTCTGGGTTATGGACACCCCGCCCCCCAGCCTCATTCTGTCGCCACCTCACAAGGGCCTGAACTCTGTCTGCTTCCTCACCTCCGCATTCCAGGTGGCTGTCTTCCCTGTCACGGCCCGGAAACCACCATCTTGTCAAATCAATGTGCAAGTCTCAGGCTGTAGCTACCCAGTCTGTCAGCACCTTGGACATAGTGGGTCACCCTCTTATATTTAAGTTTCTATTCCTTTTTTATTTTTCAACATTAAAATGATTAAACATAGAAAAATTGAAATAATTTTACAGTGAGCACCCATATGCAAACCACCTGGAGTCTACCATTACCACTTCCCTAGTGTTTTCACATCTGTGCAACTCTTTACTGGTCCTTCAAGCCATCCTGCTGCTAGTGCATTTCAACATAAATTGCAGACATCAGTGTGCCTTCTGCACGTTTCCGCATGCTTACCATTAACTAGAGTTGTTTTAGGTGGTTTTTCTTCTGAGGGACATTTACATACAGTGAAATGCATCAGTCTTACATGGACTATGCACTGAGTTTTGATAACTGCATGGCCAAGCCCCTGTGACTGTGCAGAATGCTATCATCACCTCGAAAGCTCCCTCTGCCTCTTCCCAGGTGAAGTAACAGAACAGTCGTTAAGAACTTTGAAGGTTGAGGGCGTCTGTGCCTGGGAAGTAGGCAGCAGGGTGGGGACTCATGACCATCTTCATGAAGAACAGTCAAGGCGTACGGTCCCCAAGCCCACCCCTCACTTGTTCATTCTGTCCTCCACTGCGACAAAGCTGTGTGTCCCAAACCACTTCCTTTTTCTCCTGGGCTTGCAGAAGGATTGCATTTCCCACCCCCTGTATCTCAGTGGATCCATGGGACTAGCTGGTTAAGGACATGTGGGTTGAAAGATGTTCATCACACAGAGATCTGATCCATTTAAACCTCCTGAGGTGATCCTTCTTGCTCTGCCTTCCCCGACAGCGTCCGAGGCCAGGGGTTGAAGATGGGTCATTGTAAGGGAGCCACTAGGAACATCCCCACTTGGCATTTTGTGAGTGAGAAACTTGCTGCGTTCAGCCACAGAGTTGGGGTTGGTTTGTGCCTGTGGAACCTAGTCTATTCTCATATGGAAGTTGGTATCAGGAGTGGGTTTCTGCTATAACCAAAACAATGTTGGTGCATTGGCTTAGCACTAGGTGGCAAGCAGGAAGAATACAAAGGCTGGACAGCAGGACAGCCCTATTATGTGAGCTTCAGGTGACACACCTGTGCTGAGCTGGGGGGCAGGCTACGTGCCTGCTGAGCCATCAGCTCCGGGGGAAAGGGACAGCTGCTAGGAGGTATGGTATATGTTGTCTACTGTTGGCTGCATGTGGAAAGCTATCACAGTAAAGAGATGAGCTCAGTAAAGAACTGGCCAGTCTGCAATCAGAAATGACAGGAAACAGAATCCAAAAGTATGGTCATCAAAAGGCTGCAAAAGGTAACTTTCTAAAACTCATGTGGGAAGGGATAAGATTGAAGAATAGTTTGAGCCATAAAGGCCTATTAAAACGTCTCATTTTGATAGTAACTCAGCCTTTTGGTAAATATCAGATTAAGAGATGGCCCTCTTGCTATGATTCCAAATGGCCTCACAGGAGCTACCATCAAGTTGAAAGCAGCATGGGGATAAGGCAGCAGGGAAATAAAGCAGGCTTATACAGGGAAGAGTTTTGTGTGTGTGCTCATTATCTAATGCTGTGTAAGAACTACCCCAAGGCTTTGTAGCTTAACCATCATTTATTATGTCATGATTCTATTGGTGACTGGATGGGACCTCATGGATGTCTCCCTTGGAGGGTGGGTATATGGTCTGTGTGGGGGAAAAGAGTGAAATCAGTATCTGGGGACTCGAGGGCCAGCTGTGACAGAGACTGGCCATGTGTTAAGCAAACCCACTTCCCATCCCCCTGGGCACAAAGGAGGCCTGCACTTCCTCATTCCCCTGCACCTAGGTGGAGCCATGGGATGGGTTTTGGTGCTGGGACAAGGGTGGAAGTCATGCACTTCCAGGCATGGCTCTAAGAAATCTCACACACGAACCACTCTGCTCACTCGTTCCCTTTCACGGCAACTTTCAAAACTGTGTGTTGAATGTAGCAGTGTCACGAGATTAAAGCAGCTGGGGTCCCCGATCGCTGCATGGAAAGCTACCTGACCAGTATAATCTAGAGCACCCTAACACACCCCTCCTGACCTGAAAGTGGCCCCCTGGCTTCTCCAGGCCCTGGCAAACCCTCCCCAGCCCCACACTAAGCCCTGCTCCCTGAGAGGGCACCAGAAGGCCAGGTCTTCAGCACAGAAAGATGGATGGGCAGGGCAGCCCAAATACAAGCTGGAGCTCAGGGCCCTCACAAGAGAAGCTGCAGGCCTGTCTCCCACCTCCCTCTGCCCACCTCCACCCCTACCTTTGCTGTACACTCTCCTACAGTCAGAACTCGGCTCCCACCTCTGCCTGCAAAAGCATTTGTCCTTGAGATTCAGCACTGCCTCTGATCACATGTTCTGAGGGGATGGGGCCCCTGGACCCGTCAGCTATTGCCACAGTAAAGATGCACAAGCCACCCAAGAACCAGCAGCTGTGACAATCACCATCTTCAGAATGTGCAGGTTGGCTGGGCAGCTTCTCTAGGAGCATTTCTCCTGGTGGCATGGACCCAGGAGAGGAAACAGAGCCCAGCAGGCTGTCACACCTCATGCAAAGCAGGCCTGTGGCTAGGGTAAGCCCAAAGCACACAGGTGGTGAAGTGCACCCACTGACCCGACGACACAGCCAGGGATAAGGGACTATGGCCAGTACCTCCACGCCCCTGCAGCCCAGCAGGCCCAGTGTCCTGAGGCTGCCTCCCAGCCCTCACCCTTCCCTGACATTCAGAGGCTCACTCAGGTGCCGGGACCAAGTCAGCGGCCTCATTGACCACAGGTCAAGCTGGTTCCAGGCAGGACCCAGCTCCCTCGCCTGCCCATCCCTCCTGTGTTGTGGGACTGGCAAAGATGGGGTGGGGGAAGGACACAGCCAGAGACCGCATCATGATACAAATGATAAATTATATTTACACAGTAAATAAGTATCAATAGTCAACACAAGTTCAAAACCAGCCACCAGCCTCTGGGACTGAGAAAACGGCTGAGTGACAACCCCTATCATGGTGCCCATAGGAGGGAGCATGGTGGCATGTGTACAACACGCGTGGCAGTGGCCAGTGGCTTTATGATCAGTGCAGCGGGCAATAGGGACGAGGCGCCTGGGGACAGGCCTGTGCTGGGGGGGTGGCATGGGGGTCTTCTTGAGCCTTGGTGGCCCAATGGCTATATTGCTGGGGCTGCAAAGTCTTGGCAGGAAGGACTGTTATAAAAGAATCACTGACCCAAGAAGTTGAGTTTGGTCTGACCGGGAGGTGGCCGGGCCACATGGTCTGAGTGAAAGCACCTGCCTGGGGAAGCACCCTGCCAGAGTCGGCCTGCCTTCACTCGCCCCCCCAGGCCGCAAGAGGCAGGAAGCAGCCTTTGGAGCCCAGTGCAGCCCCAGGTCTCCAGCTCTGGCAGAGGCAGCTGGCTCCTGGGATTGAAGGACGGCTTCCGGGAGCACCAGGGCCAGCACTCTGAAGTAGGAGAGGGTGAGGGGCCTGAGCGGGCACTACTGAACCGGCCTGCACGCCTCCTGGCATCTTGTATCTCTCCCATGCCCAGTGCTAAGGGGCAGATCTCCTCCTAGAATCAGAGAGAGGGGCAGAGGGGCCCTGTCACCCCCGGAGGGACGACTCGGTGGTCGGCTGCCCTTGGAGTGAGCGTTGAGAAGTCCATGGTGGAACGAGAGGTGAGCTGACTAGACAAGAGGTTCAGGGAAAATGTCCCTTCCGTAAGGAGGAAGTCTTTTCTGGTCTTTGATTAGGGACCTAATACTTTTTTTATAGTGGTGGTTAGGGTGAGGAAAGCAGGAAGTGGGGGGAGGGAGGTAATATTAGTGCATGTTTGTTAAAAATCTGTTCCCTGTGAGAATGTTGTTGTTTTTTTCTTTCTCTCCAAAGTTAGAGATGATTTTTAAGTCTGCCGTGTGTCTGGAGTTAGCAGGTGGGTGGGGCAGGGCCAGCCCTGGTCCCTCACCCCTTCTCAGCCATGAGACTCCCAGGGATCTAGGGGCGCACACGAGCCATTGCCCCCAAGACAACTGCCGTATCCACACTACCCCCAGCTTTACCCTGAGCATGGACTAAGACAGAGGAGATTACAGACACACAAGGTCCAAGACATCTCTTCCATCTCAGATCTCTGTCATAAACAGAAACCCTTGCTAATCCGTGCATGCCTTCAGTTGCAAAAAGGAATTAGCTGATAAAAACTGGTGAGACACATTCATACATTAGATTTTTTTCTTTAACTTTCTTGAGGTTGGTATATCAGTAAGAAAAATAGCCTCTCTCTTAGGTTCTAGCCAAAAAGGCTGAAAGTTGATCAATTTGGTAATTCACCAAAAAAGGGAGTTAAAGAAAGGAAAAGGCAATTAAAGGTAGGATTTTTGTTCCTGTTGTAGTTTTTTTTTCTCTAAATATCATCTTTTATGTGTAATCAAATTCCCATATTTTTTTCTGTAAAGAATTTGCTTTAGTTTTTCCATAAGGCATTTTTTTTGTCTCTTCCTATTTAAATTTTCTTACAGAGTTAAAACCATAAATAAGAGAATTTAAACTACTAACATGACATGTGCCAGTATCTTAATTCAGCCAGACCTGGTAAATTCTATCAAAACTAGACAGTTAAATAAGAACCACGTTATAAAAATATTAGCCAAAAAAGACTATTAGATAATTCTGCAAACTCAAATATGAAACTGTACTAAACAAAATATGTGCAAACGTATACAATCATAGAGCCACGTGGCAGGGTTATGCTCAGATTAGTTTAAAGCTTGCTCTAGTGGATTTAATTCAAGAGTTGTTCCACGGTGGTAGTGTTTACTTTGAACTCACATGCGAGTCAAAGAAAAATAAAATATGCATAACCACTTCCCCAGAGGAGCCAGCACTTCATTCTGTCCACACCTGGAACTGCCTGGGGTGACACTAGGGCTGGGGTGAAGGGAAACGGCGAGGCAGTGTCCCCAAGAACCTCAGGCTGAGGCTAGGGCAAGGGCAACACTGAGGATTCCTGCCTCCTCGTCCAAAGCCCCCAAGGACCGGCTGATCCCACAGGGGCTAGGACCCCATCCTTGGGAAGGAGTAGTGAGGTCAGCCAGGCTGGGGCAGACCACTCCCTCGAGACATGGGGCTACAGGCTGGGGACATGTGAGCAGGTGGCCAGAAGGCTTGGAGAGCCGCATGCTGGGTCTGCGGTCTCAGCAAGCCTGCCGCAGCTCCAGCCTGAGGGTTGGGCTATAAAGATAACCCTTCCATCAGGATGCTGAAACTGGAAAGCCCTAATGCCCACCTTAGGTCTCAGACACCATTCCACAAATGAGAGTCCCTGCTCGGTGTCCTCGGGCACACGCTCAGGGCACTCGCTTTGCAGCGGGTCCCGCCCAGGCCCGGGCACTACAGAAGGAAGGGGTTGGTTGTGCCAGTGGCCTGAGCGGCCGATGGGGGCATGCCCACACTGCCCACCATGTTCATTGTGGCAGGGCCCAATGGTGTCAGGGAGGAACTGCTGGCCCCCAGAGCCGGGTGTGAGGCTGTGGAGGTCATGGAGGCCATAGCCATGGGCTCCACTCCTGGGCCAGGTCCGAAGGATGTGCTGGTCCCCAGTACCGGGCTCCCCCGCAGCTGGTTCAGTGTTAGTGGCTGGGGCTGGTTCACCTGGAAGGGATTGACAGGGGCCGAAGCCGTAGCTGCACCTGGGGAGAGAGGAGGGACAGTGGGTAGAGTCAGAACAATATCCATCCCCAAGTCCAAGGGCTGGAAGACCACAGCCACCAAGAGCATGTGTACTCAGGCGGCAGGCCCTGTAGGGACTGGCTGCATCCCAGTCCCCACCGTGCCACAGAGCCCACAGCAGCACCAACTAACATGCGGCAGACACGTCTGCTAACTCAAATCTCTACTGTTCGGTTGATGAGACGAAGGCTGTGACTTGGAGAAGCCAAGTGACTTGTTCAGGGTCACAAAGCCTAAACAAGGCAATGCCAGGGATGTGCCAGGCTCATAGGGCTCTAGCTCCTCTTCAGGGCTGACACCCTAGGACTCTTTCAGCAGTCAACAACTGGCATTGCTCCCGTATTCTGTTTGCTGACCTCTGTGACCACAGGTGCGTGGGAGACAGGAAAGCAAAGGGGGAGGAAGGAGCTGCAGTGTGTGGCTTGAGAGAAGCAATCCTCATGCTGTACCCTGGGACCCTAAAGGCTCTGAGAAGTCCTGCAGTCAAGCAGCAGATGCAGCTCTGCCTTACTCAGTATTTCCAGAATTTATGTCACATCAGAAAGCCTTTACCCCTTTGAACAAAAAATGGGAGCTGCCAGCACTGAGTCGTCAATGCAGCCCAGCCCCTGCTCACAAAGGCTGCCAGCAAGGGCACCCCCACAAATCACCACCAGGAGATGCTGTGCTGTTCTCTGCACCACTGATGAGGGCACAAGAACAGTCTTGCATCAGCCCCTCAAGTAACCCTAGGAGGCAGGTGCTGCAGATCACCCCGTTAGAGATGACCAAACTCAGACTACAGAGCAGGACAGTGACTTGCCTGAGGCCACCAGCCTGTAAGGGTCAGAGCCAGGACCCCACAAATAAAGACAGCCTGGAGCCACCTGTGTGGCCCAACAGGGATGCCTGAACCTCATCTTGGCCGCAGTCCCCAAGGACCAGGACCTGTTTGCAGACAGAACAGCTGCCCCACAGCCTCGACATGCCCCTGGCCCAGAAAGCCTGGCGGAGGCTGCTGATGGCAGCCCCCCCGCCCGCCAAGGGCTCTCTGGACAGAGGTGGCAGGAGCCGCCTGGGCTAGGGACAGGGCTCCATGCTGGTTTAGGAACCTGGGTTTTGGTCTAAGCTCCACCCAGTGAGCAAGGATTCATGGAGCCAACCTCCCCTGTGGGTGACCTCATCTTTACCCATCTCAAGACCGTCAAGTTCAGCAGGACCCAGGTACTCCATACACCCCACTTCTGCCCTAGGGTCCTCAACCTCAGCCCCCTAGTTCCTTGGGTCCTTCTCTGCAGGGTCCTATCACGGGCAATGGTCCAGATCTGCAGATCCCTTCATCGTGGGGCAGGTCTGGGGCTGAACACTTTGAATGCCACACGTTCCTACTCTTGGGGAGCCCAGGGCCCTGCTGGGAAATCTGTGGGGAAGGAGGGCAGCTTCCTAGAGGAAGAGGGTTGTGTGGGCTGAGTGCTAAAGGACCGATACAATTTCCCACTGCACAGAGGTGGCAAGGGGGATGTTCCCGGCAGAGGGGCAGTGTGTATGCATGAGGGTTAGGAGCTCGGGGCACACAGGGAGTGGGGCGGAGGGGGCAGGCCACAACACCCCAGGCACCAAAGCAAGGGTTGGGGCTGGTCCTATAATCCATGTGCAGCCTGAGGGTGCAGAGCACATCTTTGGACAGAGCCCATCAGCAGGGAGGGTGGAGTCCCCAGCCCCAGGAAGGCAGACTCCTGCACCAGGGGCGAAGTGAGGTTCCGTGAGTTTCTGGAGGATGGCCCAGCTCAGGGCCCAGTTGTACTCCACTTGACAGGGTCTGGGATGTTGGGCAGCAGAGCCTACCGTCCCACACCCCAGCCTCGCTGGCCCAGAACTGGTGCCCACTCGAGGGTCTCCCTGGTTGAGGGACCTTCTGTCGGGCAACTTCTGCTCAGTGATCTCAGCTGAGAGAAGAGCTGTTTTCCATCCTCCCCCAAACTGAACAGCGGCTTTCACACTTCACCCCAGGCCCTGTTCAGGCCTCCCAGCTGGCTCCACTACTTCCCAGCCCTGAGGTGGGGCATGCCCATCATGCATGGTGCTCACGTGGGAGACGGTAGGAGAGCCACCCAGCAGTGGAAGAGAAATCAAGGCCCGGAGGCCTGCCACAAACCCCTTCTCAGCAAGAGCAGTCAGCTAGAGGAAGCCCCGGGAGAGAGCATACCTGGTGCCAGGAAAGGGTTGAGGGACTGGGCTGGCGGGGCTGGCCTGGTCACCAGCGAGTCCAGGTTCACCAGGGCCGCGTTGGGGCCCAGGAAGGACTCCGGTGTTTTCCGGGCGCTGCTGGGCTTGCTTGAGGCCATGGTCAGGGGCTGAGACTCAAAAGGGTCAGGGCTTGTTGTTCCATTGTTCTGGGATGGCGGAGAGGCCACCACCTCGGCTATAAGACAAGGACACACATAGGTATGGTGAGCGTGTAGGGTGGGCCCCAGACTAGTGCATCCAGTGATGCCAGCAAACCCCGGGAGCATCCCGAGCAAAATACAGACATTCCCGGACCCACAAACCCCCTACTACCCCCATGACTGCAAAGGGTGGGGATGTTTATTGCAGTGTTGTTTCCAACAGCCCCAGAGTACAGGGGCAGAGACTAGCCGAGGAGGAGAGAGAGCTGTATCAATGTATCAGACGAGAAAAGCAGGGACTAAACTGTACGTAGAGCACAATCCTCCAAACACAGTAAGACATTGTTTTGGGTGGTAGTTAAGCACGGGTAATTTACTTTTTTTATGTTTTCATTTTTCTATATATTTTACAATGAACATGAATGAACATGAATGTATTGATAGTGAGAAGAAAGCAAATTATTTTTTAAAATTCAGCCAACAGAGGGTGTGCTGAGACAGGCTGCTCTGCCAAGATGCAAGGTGGCGATGTGGCATAGAGGTTCTTAAAAATGGTCATACTCTCCACTCGGTAATCCCATTTCTAGGAATCCAGTCTCAGGAAATAATGCAAAACATGAATGGAGATTTAAGCACAAAGATGTTCACCACAGCATGATTTACTTTAGCAAAATTTGAAATCAACCTAAAATGTCCTCCCAAAATTAGTCATTGTTGCTAAGCATAATGACATTGCTGTGAAATATTTTCTAAAGAATTTTTAATGTCATGAAAAAATATTTTCAATCTGTTATTCCATAAAAGGGGAGGTGGGGTCAGGATTCAACTCTGATAGTACGTCTGACCGGTAAGAGCTCAGAAAAAACACTGGAAGAAAACAGTGGCTGACTACAGGTGGGAAGATTAGCGATGATTTGCCTTTCTTCCCATAAACTTTCCCAAGTTTTCTACAATGGGAATACTTCTAGGCTTGGAGGGAACACTTTGCAAGTCCACAGAAGGAGGTTCGCGTAACAAGCCATGCTGCCTTCTCCCTGAGGCACCGAGGGTGGGTAAGGACAGTTAGGTTGTACTTTGGCCTACAGACGACACACATGGACACTTGTTGCTTTTTTAATGCAGCAAAAGAAAGACCCCGAGAAGCAGCACGTTCTAAGTTGCCTCTGAAACCCTAAGCTGAGAAAGGTGGGCCGGGCTGCGCGTACCTTTGACCAGGGCCAGCCAGGCCTGTGGCTGCAGCTGCGGGGAGAGGCAGATGAGGTAGGAGGAAGGAGGTGGTGGGTAAGAGGGAGGGCAGAGAGAAGCCGAGAGGAAAGAAAGGAGAGAAGTTGCTCTGTGTGACTGGGAAGAGCAGCACCGAGATGGACAGAGGCTGCCTGGCTATCCCCAGTGCTACTGGTGCATGGATGCATCCCAGGCCTCCTCCCTCTGTGCCCCACCCTGAGACCCTCCCAGCCCAAGGGCTCTGACAGGCTCCAGGCAGGAGCCATAACCTGGGGTGAGGAAGTGGGACAAAGCCAGGGTTGTCTGGAAAAGGTGGCACCTTTGGGGAGTGGGAAGTTGGGGGAATGAAGGTGAGCGGAAATCATGGCTCAGGCCTGGGGGTCTGCACTGGGCTGGGGAGCCAGGGCAGCCATTGGCCCTGGGGGGAATGAGGCCAAGACACAGAAGTGACCCAGACAAAAAACACGGGGCCCTAAATGGGGCCCAACACGTGGAGGAATTGAAAGGAAAACTCAACTGAATGACTTCACTGTTAATGTATGAATTCCTGCGATTAGGCGCTTACGGATCTCAAGAGCAAAATGCAAAGAAAATACATGAAATTGCTAGGTTTTTAAAGTTGATTATTATTTCTGCAATAACTGGGCTGGTCCAATGCATACACGTTATGGAAACCACTACCATCTTTACATACCTGTTTTTTTGGAAGTTCGGAGGTTGTCAAATTCAGAAAAGTCATCTTTAATTGTCCCATTCAAATTACTGAAGAGATCAAAGGTCCCTGGGTGAACATGAGAGCCGGTGACTGGGTGCTGGGTACATCATGACTTCCCCACGCTTCCGCCTTCCCAGTCCACAACCCGCGGGGTCAGTGGGCAACAGGCAGGGGGCAGATGGCTACCCCATGTCCTGGGGGAGAATGCTGAGAGCCGGGGGCACAGCTTGGGCTCAGTCACTTGGTGGGCTGGGAGGGGCACCCTGTGCAGAGCAGGGTGCTCGCCTACCACTGCTCCCACCATCCCTACCCCAAACTGGAGGGGCTAATGGTGGTGGAGACATGTGAACTGGGTCTGGAAATGGGGATACAGCCATAGGAAGTAACCCAAGGAGTGTTTGCAGGGCAGCCTGCCCAGGGGCCCTGAGGAAGCTCCCTCTGGAGGGAGGGGCAGCTCCCCAGAAGGCCTGGGAGCTCACCCCCCACATTGGGTGTGTGGCATGGGGGTAGAGGGCAAAGGTTGCAGGCAAACCAGGAAGGCCCATGCCAAGGAGCCACAAGGGGGAAAGTGGCAGGGCCCAAATGGGCTCTCGTGGCATGGGCAGAGCAAAGTCTCACCAGAAGTGGGCACTGGCTTGGTGGCCGAGGCTGCTGCCCAGGCATCACTGGAGGCGGGCTGCTGCGGGGCTGCCCAGGGGTCTGAGCTCTTGGAGACAGAGTGTGAGTTGGCTCCAGAAGGAGCTCCCCAAGGGTCAACAGAGGCAGCTGGCTTGGCACCTGTAGGAAGGCAGGGTAGGGCTCAGAGATGCCCTCACAAAGTTCTACGCGGCTGGGGCGAGAAGGGAAATGATACTGTGGGCCATGTAAGCTACACCAGGACCTGTGCCCTGCATCAGGAGAGGCGGCCACCCAAAGGGTACTGTCCCACACTGGCAAAGCTGGACAGGGCCAGCAGCCACCTGGGAGAGGGGGCCCTCCACCTGGGAGAGTGCTGGATGAGGCCTGGCCGGGACAGCCCTCTGGGAGGGAGCCAGAGAGGACACAGCCACGCACAGGTTGTGCAAAGGGCTCCCGGGGCTAAACTCAAGCCCGCCGCCCCAGTCCACAGGCTTCCACCTCAGACAGCAGTCTACCCAAGCTCGCACCTCCTGCTGAAGTTTGAGGCCCAGCAGCGTCCTCTCCCCACTGGCTTCGAATGGTTTCTGCTTTTGACAGAAGGATGACTAAAGCAGATGGATGCAGCATAAAAAAAAAAAAAAAAAGTAAAGCAAACGCATGTGTGCTGACCTTCCAGCTTAAGCAATAAAGTTCTTCAAGTTGAGTGACAAATCAATTTGGCAAGTTACCTACTACTGGCTGTTTTTATTTTTTTTTTAGGATAGAACAGAAAATACCTGAGTGAACTAATGTCAAGAGGCCCGTCCTGTTGTGTGTGTCTCCCCCTTAAGGTAGTGTAGATACACGTGTATCTGCATACATGTGCATGCACACGGAGCACCTCATACATCTCCTTCCCAGGGAGCATCACAAGAAATGTTTACAAGCCACTGCTGTTTCTCAGGGACAAGAAAGTGCCTCCCCCAACAGCACCTGAGCCCTATCACTGTGGATTTTGCTCGCCCTTCTCTTGATTTTCCTTGTGGTTTTACCATGTAGAGGTACCTTTAAACAATACATTGGCTAGCTGTGCCTATTTCACGAACTTTATATAAATGGAAACATATTGTACACATTCTTTTGTGACAGGCTGTGTTCACACCACACTTTATCTAGGAGGTTCCCCTGTGCTGAGGTGTAGCTGAAATGTGTTCATTTTCACTGCTGGATAGTATTTCATTCTATGAAAAACAAAAGCCACAGCAGACTAGTCTGTTGAAGACGCTGGCCTGGTTTGGGTTTTGCTGTGCACCTCTGTTCTCGCTCCAACCCAGGTCCACATGTGCGCCTGCCCTCGCAGAGTAATGCTGGGTGATCTCCATGGGGTTGGCCCAGCAGCCCCACCGGCCGTGGATGCAAGTCCGGGTGCTCTGGGAGCTGCTGCCTTACCACTTCAGATGCTCAGTGCCATCTCCCTGTTTCATGTGTGCCAGTATGGGGCGTGTGAAATGTCATTTTATCATGGTTTACTTAGTTTGTTCCTTAATGAAGCTGTGCATCTTGTTATTTCTGTGCGGGTCCTTCAGGACTCCTCTCCTCTCCTATAAAGACTGTTTCAGTTCTTATCCACCTTCCTTTGAAGTTGCTTATCTGTTTCTTATTGATTTGACAGAGCTCTTTCCATGTTCTGGATACTGACTGTTTCCTTGTGTTGTAAATATCTTCGCCCAATTTGTGGCCTTTCATTTTACTCTCCTTTGGGTATCTTTTTATTTGTTTGTTTGTTTGTTTATTTTTTTTTAGCTGAGCCATCCTGCCACTTGTTAGCAGCTCAGCTTGGGCCGGGAATTGAACTGCTGTTGCTCAGAGCTCAAACTCTTGAGCGAGCTCTTAACCAACTAAGCCACTTGGCTGGCCCCCTCCTTTGGGTATCTTTTGATGAAAGATAAGTTCTTAACTTTAATGGAGAAGAACCTATCGGTATTTTCGTTTGTAACTTGTGCTTTTCCTGACATTTAGGAAATCCTTCTCTATACCAGGGCCTCAAAGCTATTCTTCTATAGTAATGTCTGAAAGATTTATAGTTTGCCTTTCATGTTTCCATATTGGGTTTTGTATATGGTATAAAGTAAGAATTACCTCACGTTTTCCTATATGAATGATGAACTCACAAAGTGCCTCCTATACTATTAGAAGTCATATCTCCATGGATTCATTATGGGGTTCTCTGTTCCATTCCACTGACCTATGTCTGTCTCCACCCCTGTACTTTCTGGATTATCCTCACAGTTATTATTAAGATAATAAATCTTGGTATCTGGTACAGCAAACCCCAACCCTGGTCTTGTTCTTCAGGAGTGTCTTGGCTATTCTTGGCCCTTTGCTCTTCCATATTAATTTTTAAATCATCTTGTTAGGTTAAAAAAAAATTAAAACGTTTTTGGGATTTTGATCAGAATTGCACTGAATCTCAGATCAATTTGAGGAAAATTGCTATTATAACATGTCTTCCAAATCAAAATCATAGGATATCTCCCCATTGAAGTTTTCTTTAGTATCTTTCAGTAAAATTTAATTTTAAAAATTTTACCCTTTATTTCCATGAGGGATTTATACAACTTTTGTAAAATTTTTTCCTAGGGACTGGTATATTTAAAATTTTTCATTTTCTATTTATTTATTGCTATGCAGAAAACAATTTTGCATACTGATTTTTGAATCCAGAAATCTTGCTACTCTTAATTCTAATTAATTGAAATTCATCCTCATTATTTATTCTTATAATTCTAATAACTTTTAATTCTAATAAACTCATTTGTAGAAATTTTTTTATATTCTATGTACATGATCATATCACGCAAATGATGATGGTGTAGTTCTTTGTGGTCCTTACACTTTTTCTTTAATTTTTCTTCTCACTGTGCTGGCTGCGATCACCAATCCCAACAGAAGCTAGAGTGCCGAGAGCCCACATCCTTGTCTTACTCTTAACGCATCAACAACTTTCAACATTTTACCATTAAATGGCACCATTTGCCCTGATAGATTTGTTTTCCTTTTTGAAGCCCTTCATCAGGTTACAGAAGTTCCCTATTATTCCAAGTTTGGGTCTGTGAATATGGTGCCATTAATACATTTTCTAATGACTTGGTCCTTACAAATAAAGCTTTTCATGGTGGATTTGGGGGTGATGGGGATCTTAAATAACTGACTCAGTTTCTTTAATTATAAGATTATAAGATTACCCCTATTTATAGGTTTTCCATTCTTCAGTCAGCTTTGCTAAGTTGTCCTTTTTTTTAATTAAATTATTTTTTATTATGAAATACACATTTTTAGAATTGGTTTCAGCTGTACGACACAGTGCAATATACTTTTTACCCCTCGAAGTGACAACCCACCTCCCCCAATCCGCCGCCCCATTTCCCACCAATATCATACATATCTATTACAAATCCCTTGACTCCACTCCCACACTATACTCCA